TACATGTGACTGGAATTCCAACTGAATACTTCCCCCTACCCACAATCCAGGGACATGAATCTATAAACCCTTCACATAAAAGAAACTTGAACTCAATCATACCCATTTCAGATAGGCTTTAAGGCACTAAACCACACAAAACTCACCAAGTAAAGAAAATGTCAGCTTTGCTCCTAGGTGTCCTTTGGAGAGGGAGCCTTCCAGTGCCCTTCACACCAGGACGGACTACCCCCAGTTTCCAGTCTGATGTGGGACTTGTCCTTGGAAGCCTGTCTGCTCTTGGCAGCTAGCTCTTCAGCAGCCCTGCCCCCAGACACAGCTGAGATTTGCAAATGAGGAAGGATGTCTCAATCTGAAGGTGTAGCAACTCCTGAAGGGAACCTGGAAGTTTAAAAGTGAAACATAAAGAGCTTTTATGGCCTGGAGGGGAAGCAGTTAACAAGGGAAAGTACTTTTAACTACCATGAGTTCCAAAAGTTCACAAACCACAAGACTGCAGGACTACAATGCAAAGCATGGCCTCAGTTTAGAATCTTTCCTGATAGAAGGAAACACATTTCCTATTTGTCTGTGTCTTGTCCCTAGGCCTGAAGCAGCAGTAACAGGAACAAGTGAAAATGTTCTTTCTGTTCTCATCTGCCTGTTCACAGTGATAGCTCTTTAAAAATTCACTTCTGCATGACAATGTGCATCTGACAGGCAGGAGCTACCAACTCTTACCTGAGTAGAATGAGGTGGCATCTACTTGCTCATGGACTATTCCAACATGAGAGTCTTTGAAGACTAATGTGCTAGTTATAAGGGGCTAGGAGAAGGCTGGGATTGCATGCCACCCCCACTTAGTCTGATACCCTTTCTCTACAGTTTTGGCTGAAATATGCAGTAGTTGCCAGAGAACCCGGAGTTCTTCTGAAGGCACTTGGTTGCTCAGTGATTTTACTCACAACACACAGCCTTTGTGGCAACAAAAGAGAAGGGCCAGCGTGGGCACTGTGCCAGGGATCCAGAGCTTGGCTGCCAGGCATTTACTTGGGGAGTTCCCAGGACTAGGGGAGAGCTTGTTGGATAAGTCCCAAGTCCCAGTTTCTAACACAGTCCTTGTTATATTAAGAGAGAGTCATCAGCTAGCAGGTGAAGTCCAGGAAAGAGACGTACAAGACTTCTGTCCTCCTCTCACCACCTCTGCTCTTCCCAAGACTACACAGAGGCAGCCTCAGCCTGCAACTTGTTGTTTCTTGCCCAAAGGAGTCACACGGCTGTGAGGCTCAGACAGAAAAGAAACAAGAGTGAGTGAACCAAAGGGAGAGAAAAATGCAGCCTAACTCCTCCGTGATTTTTCTCTACGGTTTGTTGCACAGAACAACCACCCCTTTCCAGAACAGCAGCATCCCCTCCCTCAATGATGCTCTGTCAATTCCTTTCACAGTAACATTTACTGTCCCTTCATCTGTGGTTACCGCCTCCACTTCCCTTCCTTCCTCAAGTCAAATTACTGACACCCAGTGTCCAGTGAAGGTGACAGCAGGTTGTTTCCCTTGTATGGGAGGAGGTGTGTATGTGGGGTGCATTATTAAGTACTGACGGCGGCATTTAAACCCACAGCGATCGAAGGTATTGATGAGCTAGAAGTCATTAGTTGATTATATTTGAATAACTCATGACATAACAAAAATACTGCTGGTTTTACTTGACATCTTGAGCTTTAGAAAAAAAATGCTTGAATCAATTAAGGAAACTCTGTTTCAGCTTTAAGGAAGTTGTTAAAAAAAATATGTTGCATGTACATGGTTTCTAATGGAATGAGTAAACCAAATGAAACAAACCACAAATAAATCTGTCAATAAGGTTTAAAAATTTGCAAATAAAGAGTCAATTTCTACCAAAAAATAGGCAAATAAACAGGCAAGATGGCAAATAAAACCCTGTTCTTCACTGGAAGGAGCCTTGTAAACGAACATGAGAATGCAGATGTCTTTTTACCATATGGATTCCCTGTTCTTTGCATATGTACCCAGTAGTGGGATTGCTGGCTCATGTGGTAATGGGATTGTTTACTTATGTTTTTATGTATTTATTTGTTGTGGTACCAGGGATTGAACCCAGGAGTACTTAACTACTGAGCAACCTTCCCAGACCTCTTTTATTTTTTTTATTTTAAGAAAGGATCTTGCTGAGTTTCTTAGGACCTCGCTAAGTTGCTGAGGTTGTCTCTGAACTTTGGATCCTCCTGTCTCAGTCTCCTGAGCTGCTGGGATTACAGGTGTGCACCACTGCGCTTGGCAGTAATTTGATTTTCAGTCATGTTGCCAAGCCACCACCCTGATTTCAACCATTATGTACTACTTTACCTTACCATCACCTGTGGGCAAGAGCTGCCTTGTCTCCACATGCTTGACAGCACTTCGTTCATCTTTCTGAGAAGCCATTCTAACAGTGTCAAGTGATATCTCCCTGTGGCTTTAATTTTCATTTCCCTGATCATTTGTGATTTGGGGGGCATTTTTTTTCTTATACTTATTGCACATTTGTGTGTCTAGTTTTGAGAAATTTCAGTTCAGGTTCTTTTTTCCATTTTTTAAATCAGGCTATTTGTTTTCTTGCTTTGGGGTTGTTTTGGTTCCTTGTGTACTTTGAATGTTAACTCCTTATGAGATGTGTGGTTTGAGAATATTTTATCCCATTCCACAGCTTGTCTCTTCTCTCTATTGTTTCGGGCGGTGTAGAACTTTTTAATTGATTTAATCCCATTTGTCTATTCTTGCTCTTCTTGCTTGTGTTTTTAGGTAATATTAAAACAAAATAAAACAACAATAACCACAACAGAACATTGCCCAGAACATTGTCATTTCAGTGTTGGCCACAATGTCGAAGCTAGGAAGTCAACCTAAGTTCCATTAACAGATGAACTGATAAATGAAATCTCTCTCTCTCTCTCTCTCTCTCTCACACACACACACACACACACACACACACACACACACACACACTGAAATACCATTCAGCCTTAAAAATGAAGGAAATTCTATCATTTGCAACAACATGGATAAACCTGGAGAATACTGTGATAAATTAAATAAGCCAGACAAAGACAAGTACTGCATGATCTTGCTTATGTGGGATCTAAAAACGTCGAACTCATAGAAGCAGATGGTAGAAGGGTGGATGCCAGAGGCTGGAGATTGGGGTGAGGAGCTAGGGAGATGTTGATCAAAGGTACAAAGCTTCATTTACATAGGATAAATAAGTTCAGGAGACCTGTTGTAGAGATGACTATAAACTAATAATAATGTATAATGGAAAATTTGTAAGAGAATAGATCTTAAATGTTGTCACAACAAAAAATTGGTAACTATGTGAGGTAATGTGTACATTAATTAGTTTGATTTAACCATTTCATAATGTATTCATATAGCAAAACAATACATTGTATACTGTAAATATATGCAATAATTATTTTAAAAATATACCTTAAAATAAATAAGACTCCTTAAAAAAAACTTCTATTTTATTTATTTTTATGTGGTTCTGAGGCTCAAATCCAGCACCTCGCACATGCTAAGTGAGCACTCTACCGCTGAGCCACAACCCCAGCCCTGAAATAAGCCTCCTTAAGACTGAAGAACATAACATGAGGCATTTCCTGAGGGCTCTCCCCTGTTCGTGGTCTTCTGCTTTCTTTCACACATGGTTTTCAGGGCACCATCCTGAGTAGCAATTAGTGCTAATATTGTGGATTGCAGGTGGAGGAAATGACCCCATAGTGCCTCAAGAAGTTTAGAAGATACCAATGCATATACAGGGTAGCATTGGTTTTGGAGCCAATATGCTTATGCTCTGCCCTCGTGTTTCTAATTCTCAGATAAATAATGAAAAATAATGAAAGTGCTTCTGTCATGCATGGTGACAGGACCCTGATCAAGGAACACGATCAGGCCAGAATTTTCAAAAGATTCATCTGGATAGATGGAAGGAGCACTTTCAATGAGTGGTAAGCTGCCCTGAGGCCATCCAATAACAAGTATTTTATGATAAGTAAATATTAGCATATAACATAACTCTATTATATTATTGTAAATATAATAATATTTAATAATATAATAAGCAATAATTTATATTGCTAACTAAAAGTAACAACCAAATTCTGAATTTTGAGCCATTCAGTCTTCAAGAAATTAGTAAGCTCTGAGGAAATAGGAAGCTTGTTATTTGCTAATAAATGGTGGTTAATATTATTAGTTTACTTGGATTATAAAGAGGGATGGAAATATAGATAATTCCATCTTCAAAATTATTCGTTTATTTTATATCACATCAGTGGAATGGAAACTCACAGGGCTTTGGAAGTTCTGTATTTGGTACCATTTTTTGAATAGGCAGTAAGGACCCCTATTCTGAGCTCTGTGTTTTAGTGGGCTCTATTCTTGTCCACTTCCAGTTGTACCACTCACTAAAGGATGATTTATCTTTGGGATTAAGGGACCAGTTAGAGCTCACACCATTCCACTATTTTAAGTAATGGTCTGGGATCCCATACCTTAACTTTTCGGACCCCTCCAGACTTGTGTCTGCTTCTAGGGTATGTGAATACTCCCTTCCCTTCTTCCTGCCCACTGATGTTATCTTACCACACAGGTATATATGCTCCTAAGCCTAAGGGGGTGGTCTACAGGCAGCTTTGTATGCATGTATGGGGTATACACACCTGAATCTCAATTAACCTCAATTAACTCACCTTGTCTGGGAGTCTTCTTTTAATTCTCATCTCGAGTCCCTCAGATATTTATGATGAGGTCTTGTACATAAAGAAATGTCCTCATTTTACAGATCCTTAATAAATATTGCTTGTGTAAAAGGTCCTATTAGTTGTGTGCATTGGAACGGCTCTGGCGTTCACATGAACTCCCTCCTAGGGCAAGATGAACACTGGGATGGAATGAGAAAAGGAGGAAGCTAAGGCTTCACACTGCAGTCTGGGAGCTGGAATCTAGAGAATGACTCTCTTCCCTGCCAAATACTGATGTGGAATAATAAGGAATCTGTGATTTAATTCAAACATGACCTTCCAGGTTATTATGAAGATATATTTTTCAAGTGTGGAGGATAGAATTTATTTTTACTTCCTAGTTATACTTTATAAATGGTGCTACGCTAGTAAATACTTAAAAAGAGGCTCTTGGAAAATAAACAAAGATTCAGGCAAAGACCTATGGAGTTCTAGTGTTTGCCATTTATAGTGACCAAAATGCTTCTACTATGATTTATTTCTCTCTACCATTGCAACATTACTGAATATGAATTTGGAAAATGATGCATATAAATAGCGCTCTTCAGCTTAGAAGACCTGGCTCTAGCCCATCACTATTTACAATTTTAAGTATTCATACATGTGGGTGGTGTAGGAATCTCAATTAAACTCAATTAACTCAGCTTGACTGTGAGTCTTCCTTTATACTCTCATCTTGAGTCCCTCAAATATTTATGATGGGGTCTAGTGCATAACGAAATGTCTGAATTTAACAGATCCTTAGTAAATATTTCTTGCATAAAAGGTCTTATTAGTTGTGTGACTTCAGGCAAGCTATTTTTTCTACAAATTAATCTGTACTTTATATGGTTCTTGACTAAATGAGGCAGTTCATATGAAAGCATATTACTCGGTTCTTGGAACTTTGTATATAACCAATAAATGTTGCTGAAAGAATGAATAATAGACATTCAATAAATTTTAATTTCTTTTTATTATCCATATTTAGTTTTTAGTTTCTTTTTATTATCCAAATCTGAGGATTTTTACTTTGGGCTATTCTTAGATGTTTGTAATTTTCTGCTGTTGTCCTGAGGCAAAGTCAAATGCCCATTTTTCTCAGGGTTTTTCTT